TCCTTTCCGACATATTTTATCTAGTTACCCAACTTTAAAGATATAGTATGTGCGTGTTAGGTTAATTTCAAATAAAATTCACCACCATAAGTATTCATTTGCATTGTCCTACCGTCATAAAAATTCAATATCACAGACAAGGCATCCGAAGAATCCATTATCATCGTCACATAATTATAGAAAAAATACAATTACCATCAAAGCCACACTATTATAACAAAATACTTCATTTCAAAGAAAAATAATCATAAAATCACTTTCATACAATCATAACATAAGCTATGTTTTTTCACATTGCTATGAAAAGTAACCCTCATTAAAAGGACATCCTTTAAAAACATAATAATTTTGCCATGTTATACAAACAACGTCATCCTGTTATTCAACAATAGGCATATGTATTTGAAACTGTTACAAGAGCAAATATTACGAAATATGTGTGTTATATTTTTCTCATTCACATAAATATTCGTCTTTTTTTCTATAGATGTAACTTGGTTATCGTCTTTTTCTATATTTTAGTCAAACTACTATATACTTATTTCTAAAATATTTTTTTTAAAAAAACTAAAAAAGACCTGGTCAATATTTCATGGAATGCAAATAAAGTTAGTTGTTAAAATTTCGGTTATTAGAGCAATTAATATTCCTAAAATCGCAATTAGATATATATATGTATGGAAACACAGTGACTTTAAATCAGTTGGGTGTTCAACATATTTTGATTTTTAAAGAAAAAAAATATCTATGTAAACGACCTCAAACATCTTACTTTTTTATACAGTGTTCGCTGTTTGTCACTTGTTTGGTAGTTTTTCCCTGCTTCCGACCAACCCATGCCCCGATTTCTGGATAAACCTTGCTTGATCAAGGAACTTAAATCATTGTATTGCCAATGTACTCGTTTTACATAATGAAAATTCATGTATGTACACTTCATATATAAACAGGATGGAGCATTCATGAGGAAACCCCAAGAACCAGTCCCAGAGGGAAATCCATCGCTTGTCAGTATAAATTCACTCAAAAATAAACAAAACCATATTTCAGACAACTGTGACATCGGTTAAAAGTCTACAGATAATAATAAGTAATAATACTTTAAGAATGATTCGTCTCGCCAGCCTGCTGCTCTCTCTACAGGTAATATGCATCAGTATATAAACAAATGTATAATGAGTCTTAATCATGCGTGAATGTGCATAACATGTCATAATATTCATTATAAAGTAGTAGTCACCCATATCGACGGGAGCTGAGACAGTGCTGCTACTTAAATAATAATACTAATATACAGCATTTATATAGCGCCCTATATAATTTGTAAAATTACTCTAAGGCGCTTTACAACATATGGATAATAGTAATGGTTATAATTGTGAAAACAAACATCAAAGGCTTGCAATCACTTTCATACATTTAACAAGCAATGTGCACATAATTGAACAAATAAAAGGGTGGTATTTACATGACGTCTTTGCAAAGATTCTAAAATGCAGACGTGAAGAGGTGAGTTTTTATGTCCCTCTTGAACTTTGCCAGGGTATTCGACTTCCTAATAGCAGATGGTAAGCTATTCCACAACGTAGCCGAAACCCTCCCAAAGCATCTGTTTCCGTAGGTCACAGTACGAGATTTTGGGACACACAACAAAGATTCTGACTCCGACCGCAGTGATCTTGACGGCTGATACAGGGTAACAAGTTCCTGTAGGTACTGAGGAGCTGTTCCATTCAGTGCCTTGTATGTGTATACCAGAATTTTGTACTGCGACCTGTATCGTACAGGTAACCAGTGCAACGAATAAAGCGCAGGTGTGATGTGCTCTCTCTTTCGAGTACGAGTAACTAGCCGTGCTGCAGTGTTCTGAACCCTCTGCAGACGACTAGTTAGTTTGTCAGATATACCACAGAGCAGGGCGTTACCATAATCCAACCGAGAGGTAACAAGTGAATGCACCAAAATCTTGCATGCATCTGCAGTTAGAAACTGCCGAATACAGCCGATGTTCCTGATCTGGTAGTAACAGGATTTGGCAATAGCGTTCACTTGTTTCTCCATGTTCAGAGAACTGTCAAAGTATACCCCTAGGTTTTTAACAGCTGGAACAGTCTCAATAGTTCTGGCACCAACCTTGAGCTGGAGAGCCATTGTTTGCTGACACTTTGGGGAAAAGACGATTAGTTCCGTCTTTTCCTGATTAAGTTTAAGCATGTTGGCGTTCATCCAGATACTGATATCTGTCAGACAAGCTTCCAGACTTTCTGAGACTGTATTCCAACTGTCCTGTGGTTTTATGACCATGTAAATTTGTGTGTCATCAGCATAGCAATGATAGCGAAGGCTATGGCGACGACAAATCTCTCCAATCGGTTTGGAGTACATACAATATTTTCGTGGTCCTAACACCGACCCTTGAGGAACCCCGAAATCTAGTACTTTGTCATGTGAGGTGGCAGATCCGATGGCAACACACTGTCGTCGTTCACTCAGGTATGACTGTATCCAGCATAGTGCGGTATCAGTCACTCCATAAGAGTATTCCAGACGTTTATAAAGTATGCCATGGTCGATGACGTCAAATGCAGCTGACAAGTCCAGCATGACAAGCACCGCTCTGCACTTGTTATCCAATGCAGAAGCTATATCACTATGTACACGTAGGGGGGGGCCGTCTCAGTAGAGTGTCCCATGCGGTAGGCCGTTGTCATTGAGACTGTTTGCATGGAGATGAACCTCTAAACGCCGGGACACAATCTTCACCAAGATCTTAGACAGAAAAGACAGATTTGAAACTGGTCGGTAGTTTTTCAACTCCTCCTTGTCCATTCCAGGCTTTTTTAACAATGGTCTGACATGTGCCTTCTTGAAACATAATGGAACCTTTGACTCAACCAATGATTTATTCATGATTGCGGTAATCAAAGGAAGAAGTGCTTCAAGACATTGCTTTAATAAGTCTGTAGGCAGTGGATCAAGCTCACAGGACTTCGATTGCGAGGTCATGATAATGTTGCGCAACTCGTCCTGGGTTGTTGGTGAGAGCTTTGCCAATGGTTCCCCATCAAATGCAATGTCAGCAGACATGACAGAGATATACATGTCAGCAGAGTTGTTCACTTCGGTAATATTTTTTCTGATTGAGCTGATTTTATTCAGAAAGTAATCATTGAACTTGCTTGCTAAGTCTTTTTCAGAATTACAGCTTGGTAGAATAATTTCACCTTTCTATCCCATTACGTTTTTGGTGAATCTAAAAAGTTGTCTTTTATCCGTGCCACATCCTTCGATTTTTTCCGAATAATAAGTCTTCTTTGACTGAAAGAGCAGTGAACCAACTAGCCGACATTGCTCTCTATAAATCAGTTGGTGAACGGTTAATTTGGTCCGTCGCCACTGTCTCTCTGCTTGTCTACGTTTCTTTTTTTCCACGCGGAGATTTTCATTATATCACGGGGCATTTGGTCTCACAGTTATCACATTAGTTTGCAGATGTGCGTGTTTCTCTATAAGGGCTTCTATACCAAATGTGTATGCTTCAACAAGATCATCAACCTTGCCTTCAGTAGATTAAAGGGCGGAACAAGACTGAATGTCATTTTTGAAATCTGGTATTGAAATTTCGTGAAATTTCCGGAGGCTCACTTCTTTCCTTGCACGAGCTGGCTTACTACAATTCAGTGTTGTGTGGACAGCAAGATGATCACCAGATTGGTTCCCCTTTGCATCACTTAGACATGGATAAATGACTGAAATACAAAAACTGTAGCTCAATGAATGACTGAGTTATCTTCTCTCGTTATGACCACATCCAGTGTGTGGCCATGGGTGTGTGTAGCTTCTTTCACATGCTGAATCAGACCCCTGGAATCTAGTTGACCAGAGAACTGGCGAGCATCAACATTAGATAGATCGACTAAGTGGAAATTTAGATCACCCGTGATAATAATCTCTTGTGGTACAACAACTTGGTGGTCTAAAAAGGTAGACCATTCATCAAAAAACAGTGTATTTCGGAAATCATTCTGTTTTGATGGTGGAGGCCTGTAAATGCTACACAATCTAAATTGTTTATCACCAGCAATGACAGAACAAGTCATGTGCTCAAAGTGTGTGTATACATCATGTCCGGTGGTTTATTAGCTGTAAAGTTTCTTCATTTTAGAAAAAAAAAATCCATTTTGTACAGAGGAACGTATGAAATATATTATAATAGCATATAACTTAGCAACATTTCTGTACATTTATAAAGTTAGTAGTCGGCTATTTGCATTGTTATTGGATAGAAAAGTTTTTAAGAAAAGGAATCTGGTTGTAAAAATATTCATTTAGACTTGATAGCGACATATACGTTTGCGGCGCATTGCATTAATGTTTGAACGTTTGTAGATACAAACGAATGTTAGACATTTATGTTAATAATATATACTATAACCACTTCATTTACGTGAATTAATTATTTTTGTTATTAGGCATTTACTGGCTAGCTATTCGCAGGTTTTTGAATTAGCTTTATAACTTTATCATTTGTTTTCATTTCTGTGTATTATGTGATCTTATATTCTACACTTGGAATTTACTTTCCAATCACTTTCTAACAAATTGAAAAGAAAATTCAATTTGTGTTTTTGATTCGTGACTTCATACACTTTTTGTAAGTAAACTAAAATGTAAAAGGAATTGAAATGAACAATGTTTTATTTTTGCGGTTATTTGATTTAAGATAATTGATGAATTCAAAGTATTTTAATATTGAATAAATAACATCGTGATTCACTTTTATAAGAACAAAACAGATATGTTCTTCAAGAGTTTAAAATCCCATGTATAAATCAAACACTATTACAATATACGTGAAACTTTATATATAAAATCAAACGTATGCTTCCTTCCAGGCGATATTGATCCTGCTAAATGGCCAGTTGGCCAGAGCCACATGGTGCCGTAACCCGGGTGTTAGCCAAATGAACAACCTTACCCGAACCCTTCTACAATGAAGTAATCTCTGGCTATCATATGAAACGGCGGATATGGATACGAGCGATATTTACACGTAAGTACACACCTAATAAAGATATATCATTTATCTTAACATTAAAAACACGATAGGGAATCTAAATGTCATACATCAATTCTATAAAAAAAAAAAAAAAGCTCAATTTCTATGCGAGGATGTTTGGCATGCGTTCATTCATTTTGTCAAGAACACAATTGGGTAGCTGTGTGTCCTACGTCACTTCCGGAATAACATTAAAAGCCAATCAGGTGTCGAAGCTTTTCACGTGATTGCAGATGTTATAATTGTTTAGGCGTCACCCATGTGTCTCTTATATCACAGACACCGATAATTTTATTTGATAACCCTGATGATCTACATCATTAAGGTTTCAATTTTAAATATCTGACAAAGCCATGAATTGCTCTATAAACATCCACACCCAGTAATATTTGTTACGAGGAAGACTGTCGATTGGTCAGATGGACGTGCTCCTTCCTTGTTTGGTTTTTATTTGAAGTTATTTTACATGAGCCAAAAGGATATTTTAAATCTTCTCATTTGGTCTAGTAGTCATGTGGTCCAGACAAACGCTTGTACGCTACCGTGTTTTTCCGTTATGGTTCCTTTCTTTCGGTGTCCCCAAGCTCTTGCTTCGATTAGGAATTCGTATTTGGACGTTATTTATTACTTAAATCCTGTTTAAGTGAAAGACCCATTATTGATGAATATTTGCATGCTAATAAATGCCAAGTCTCTTTTTAACAAAAACTTATTTTGCGAACTTTCGAAAACGACGATTTCCTTTGTCATGCAAGCGTATTTTTCATACCGAACTGGTGAATTTCGTTCCGAATCTGCAGTCTGGATTAAAAATACACTGTTTGCAGATGTAAATGGGCCATATAAGAAAAGAAATTCTTCACTAAATGACCATTTCGTCCATTAAGACTCAACAGTAGTATTAAAGGTAAAAAGAATCTAATCCATGTTTTGTATATTTCGAATCATTTCTAGAATACAGCAACAAAAAATAGGAGCCAATAAATCAGTTCTGTGTCCATATTTTTAAAACCATTCCTTATGCACAATATCTTATTCCTTAATAAGTAAATACAAAAAAATCACATTTTGTTAACGATTTGGAAATATTATGGACAGACTTAAAGCCAAATCCTTTTTTCAAATATTGTCTTGAGCACAGAATTCATGCTTGAGCATGAATGAGAATGGTTTCATGAAAACGGGCCCTGATTTCTGTTAGTGGTAGCTATGCTTTCTCGCTGGAAAAATTATCAGTCCAAGCTTTGCTGAATTATGACTTTGAGATTGTTATATATATGATACCTTTAACTTGCTAAGAAATTCTTACCGTAATGTTGTATTTGCATAATCATCTCACAAAATAATACTGCATACGGCACATGAAAACAAAACAACTGCATTATATACCACTTGTATTGTATTATTAGACTGTATATTCATTATTACACAGGCTATTACTGCAGGGTGATACCAGTTGTCCAGCCCCAACTGACCAAGACGATTCGGAAGATCCATCAACGTGCCCCTCTTATCTCGTGAAAGAAGTGGACCCAACGAGAATCCCGTCTGCCATTGTGCACGCGCGCTGTCGATGTGAGAATTGTCAAATATCGGGACTGCGGAGTAGGCGCAGACATCAGTACGCATGCGAGCCAGTGTACCGCTTCCTTCCGGTCCTCAAGAGACAAAGCACGTGCATCGATGGAGAGTATCAATACGCCTTAGTCCATCAGAGAGTGGCCGTGTCGTGTCACTGTGTGAGGAGTAGAAATAATCGCGCCAAATTGTCGACCAGTTTTAAATCTCCTGAAAACTTTATGTAGTGATTTCAGTATGCATTGCGCAATGTCAAATGTTTGGTGTGGTGGTAATTAATAAATTGTCCTTTGTTTTAAAATCAGTGTTGTGTGGTTAATAAATTAAAAAAGAAAAAGTATGTTCCCTTAACAAACAGTATTATAATGTTTATTTCATATTATTATTTACCAACATTTATTTAATTAATACGTCCACACTGACATTCAGTCAATAATCATTGATCCCGCAAACTGTAGTTATTATCTCATAAGGTGACCACAGAACGTGACACTTTTCAATGGAGTGGAAAACAATACATGTGGAAGAGATTTCAGTAAAGTTCAGTAAAAAGAGGTAAATAGAGCTATAAAGGACGAATAGTGAATACTTTCCCGGCGGCCCAGTACGTATGTGTATATATGAAACACGGCTTACGTCTTCAATTGATATGATGAAGAGAGATCACCTAATAGCAGGTGTTTGTTTAGTAAAACTGCTTATCTATAATCGGAATATTAGAATAAGCATAAAGGTTGTTTCCAAAACAGCAATTGTTAAATAAATTGTTAACCTTCCCACGTCTTCGTTTTTGACAGATGATATTATTTCAAATCACTTTCCTGGTGACAATATGACCATATTGCATGCATGTAGGATAGAAGTTTCAAGGGTGCAGAATTATGGACATATACCGAGACTATGAAAAATAAATAGAATCTATAACCCCTTGTGTGAAGTAAACAGATAAATATCAACCAGCGGGTTAGGTTTTGAAAAATGAGGTTTTACAAGATGACGTTACCCTGGTTACTCTGCATAATGTGATGACGCGATGGTGACGTTTTCAGAGTGATAGCGTGCGTAAGTTACCTTTTCCCTAGGTAGGTAAAGACATATGCAAGACCAAACACTTGTGTTCTTCTAACTCGTGCGCTCCGCGCATTCGTGAATATATTCGTCCGCGCAATAAACGCGTGCTTTCTGATTCGTTAGAAAAACACAAGTGTGTGGTCTGGCTTTTATCACATACCTTCCGTATTTGATAGAGATCGATACAAAGATTGTATAAGCTTTGATATTTTTTGCAAATACTGGGAACTTTACAGTTCGCCATGACAAGGGGATTCCCATAAAAATGTAGTTCCGGCTAGTAGGTAAATACAACATTCCGTATTGCACATATGACGTCATGCCTATGAAAGAAAAATAGAATATATAACCTCTTGTGTGAAGTAAACAGATAAATATCAACCAGAGGGTTAGGTTTTGGAGGTTGAGGTTTTACAAGATGACGTTACCCTGGTCATTCTGCATAATGTGATGATGCGATGGTGACGTTTTCAGAGTAATAGCGTGCGTAAGTTACCTTTTCCCAAGGTAGGTGAAGACATATGCAAGACCACACACTTGTGTTTTTCTAACGAATCAGAAAGCACGAGTTTATTGCGCGGACGAATATATTCACGAGTGCGCGGATAATTATTAACTGATAATAAATTAGTGCTTTCTGATTTGTTAGAAAAACACAAGTGTGTGGTCATGCTTTAATCACATACCTTCCGTATTTGGTAGAGATCGATACAAAGATTTTATAAGCTTTGATATTTTTGTGCAAATACCGGGAACTTTACAGTTCGCCATGGCAAGGGGATTCCCATAAAAAGTACGTTCGGCTAGTAGGTAAATGCAACATTCCGTATTGCACATGTGCAATACAGAACGTTGTATTTCATGGTAAGAAAATTGCTTGTAATACTATAACAAGATGCAACAGGTATGTAATAAAGATGTATCGCTTCCCTAGCAGAAAACGGTAATACCGTCATGAAGTGTGGGAGAAAGATGTACATGTATCATACATGGCTTTCCATTATAGGAAAACTCCATCTTACATGGCCGACTATATAAGAAAGCAATACACATGCTGAACGTAAATTAGTGTTTTGATGCACGTCAAAAGCGTGACCAGTAAAATAGTGAGGTGTTTGAAATATTAACAAATCAGTTTGTTGTTTAAAACTATTTCAAATGTATTAAAGTGTATAGCAAGCTTTAAGTGAGTGTAAAGAATCATGACAACCCCAGACATACCCATCCAAAACCTAGACCTCCATGGTAACCCATATTTTCTCAATTTATGCTTAATATGCTCATGAGTAAGCTTTAAATTAGGTAGGGAAATTGATTAAAATTCTACGGGGTTTTTTCCTGTCTGTATCTGTGACATACAAACCTATATAATGTAACTAGCTAGGACATATATCAGTCTCAACAACCGGGATTTACGACTGAACTCCATCTCGTTTTAGTCTCAATTTACATTCCATAAAATGGTTTATATTAGTAGATCATTGTCTTATTTATAAGCGTGTTACATGGCTACAGAGATCAATGAGAGATTTGTTTTAGATCTCATGTAAAGGTTAATTTCTCGTTTTAAATGCTGACGTGTTACAAACACAAGTATATATTAATTAGCATTCCTCAGAATGGTTTATAAATCAATTTTAACTATATCTGTGTGTTTATGTTATATGCCTACAGAGGTCGGTGAGAGAAAATCCAGATTTTATACAAAGGTATTTTTTTCTTTCACATTGATGTTTTACAAACAGAACCAAACATGTTCTGTTCTTTCATTATGTTCTGAATGTTTGTTACAATCAACAATGGATAGAACATGAAGTAAAATCACTAACATAAAAGATAACTAATAATATACCAAAACATCACAAACATCAGGAAAAAACAACAAGTACTAAGGAGACATCAAAAACATCAGGACACAACAACAAGGACTGAGGAGACATCACAAACACCAGGCTACAACAACAAGGACTGAGGAGACATCACAAACATCAGGACACAACAAGAAGTACTGAGGAGACATCACAAACACCAGGACACAACAACAAGGTCTGAGGAGACATCACAAACATCAGGTCACAACAACAAGGACTAAGGAGATATCACAAACATCAGAACACAACAACAAGGACTGAGGATACATCACAAACATCAGGTCACAACAACAAGGAGTGAGGAGACATCACGGACACCTGGCTACAACAACAAGGACTGAGGGGACATCACAAACACCAGGCTACAACAACAAGGACTGAGGAGACATCACAAACATCAGGACACAACAAGAAGTACTGAGGAGACATCACAAACACCAGGACACAACAACAAGGTCTGAGGAGACATCACAAACATCAGGTCACAACAACAAGGACTAAGAAAACATCACAAACATCAGGTCACAACAACAGGGACTGAGGGGACATCACAAACACCAGGTCACAACAACAAGGACTGAGGAGACATCACAAACACCAGGCTACAACAACAAGGACTGAAGGGACATCACAAACATCAAGACACAACAACAAGTACTGAGGAGACATTACAAACATCAGGTCACATCAACAAGGACTAAGGAGACATTACAAACATCAGGCAACAACAACAAGGACTGAGGGGACATCACAAACATCAGGACACAACAACAAGTACTGAGGGGACATTACAAACATCAGGTCACATCAACAAGGACTAAGGAGACATTACAAACATCTGGACACAACTACACGGGCTGAGGAAACATCACAAACATCAGGTCACAACAACAAGGACTGAGGAGACATCACAAACATCAGGACACAACAACAAGCACTGAGGAGACATTACAAACATCAGGTCACATCAACAAGGACTAAGGAGACATTACAAACATCAGGCTACAACAACAAGGACTGAGGAAAATTTACAAACATCAGGTCACGACAACAAGGACTAAGGAGACATTACAAACATCAGGCTACAACAACAAGGACTGAGGAGACATCGCAAACATCAGGTCACAACAACAAGGACTGAGGAAACATCACAAACATCAGGTCACAACAACAAGGGCGGAGAAGATATCACAAACATCAGGTCACAACAACAAGGACTGAGGAGACATCATAAACATCAGGCTACAACAACAAGGACTGACGGGACATCACAAACATCAGGTCACAACAACAAGGACTGAGGAAACATCACAAACATCAGGTCACAACAACAAGGGTGGAGAAGATATCACAAACATCAGGACACAACAACAAGGCCTGAGGAGACAGCACAAACATCAAGCTACAACAACAAGGACTAAGGAGACATTACAAACATAAGGCTACAACAACAAGGACTGACGGAACATCACAAACATCAGGTCACAACAACAAGAAATCAAACATCAGGACACAACAACAAGGACTGAGGAGACATCACACACATCAAGCTACAACAACAAGGACTAAGGAGACATTACAAACATCAGGTCACATCAACAAGGACTAAGGAGACATTACAAACATCAGGCTACAACAACAAGGACTGAGGAGACATTACAAACATCAGGTCACATCAACAAGGACTAGGGAGACATTACAAACATCAGGCTACAACAACAAGGACTGAGGAAACATCACAAACATCAGGTCACAACAACAAGGACTAAGGAGACATTACAAACATCAGGTCACATCAACAAGGACTAAGGAGACATCACAAACATCAGGTCACAACAACAAGGACTAAGGAGACATCACAAACATCAGGCTACAACAACAAGGACTGAGGAGACATCGCAAACATCAGGTCACAACAACAAGGACTGAGGAGACATCACAAACATCAGGCTACAACAACAAGGACTAAGGAGACATCACAAACATCAGGTCACACCAACAAGGGCTGAGGAGACATCACAAACATCAGGACACAACAACAAGGACTGAGGAGACATCACACACATTAAGCTAAAACAACAAGGACTCAGGAGACTTCACAAACATTTGGACACAACAACAAAGACTGAGGAGACTTCACAAACATCATGATAAAACAACAAGGACAGAGGAGACATCACAAACATCAGGAGAAAACAACAAGGACTGAGGAGACATCACAAACACCAGGACACAACAACAAGGGCTGAGGAGACATCACAATCATCAGGTCACAGCAACAAGGA